TTTTTCCCACTTCCAGCTTTTGTATAGTAACCACCAGAGATCTCCAACTCTTTCATGACGCCATGTCGACCAGCCGCACCAATGTTGAATTGCATGATTGCAGAGGCAGCTGCTGTCTCAACAGATTTTATCCCTCTGTTCCTATGTTTAGGGCATCTGTTCCACACAAGTGAGTTGACAGACTCATTAGCATTCTGTGAGAGCCCTGGTAAGCACCTTTTCAGCAGCTTCTTCTCACTAAGTCGGTCGAATAACGGTATTAAAAATTCTAAAAAGACTGGATCCAGATGGTGTGACTTGTCGAGAAAAGGAGTATTGGTTCCTACTGCTTTGTCTCTCTTGAATGAACACCAGGAACTTTCTCCATCAGGACAGTACTGATGCCTCTTCTTTTCATCCACAATCTTCACGCTGTGGTACAATACTCCTTTTATCGCACATTGCATTCTCTTTACTGCATCCTCCACTTCTTGTTTACTTTTCGCTTTTTTGTCCACGCACCGTCTAATGGCATTGCCATAATATTTCTGCAGTTTGTCAATCATAGGCCTGGTGAGTCTTCCTGCTCTTCCTCCCACCGGTTTACCATCTGCGAGCTTTGACTTTCCAGACAGAGCTATCAGGTTTTTGCCCATATGCTTCTGCACATGTCCGACACAATCAAGCTTGCTAACCCGATGGCAATTTTCATTGCTTGTGCTATGTTCTCTCTCCCAATTAGCATGTGCTTTCGATTTCAACCACTTTTGGTACTCTGCTGACTGTTTGTCCATATTTTCATATTTCTCACAATCATCACAAACCCCATATATATCCCACACTTCTCCATATGCCTTGCTATCACCATCACATACCATATCAATATACCGGAACTTGTGCTTCTCGACAGATCTACTCCACAAAATTCTGGCTGCTTCTTTTTCCATAGCAGGACTAGAACCATTATAATTCTTTTGGCACTGGCCACATGAGCATCTTTCCACTCTTGGTATTTCTCGGGATTGCTTTTGCGTTTCTCTGCAGCTTTGCAAAGTTCACAGACCTTTGATAAAACAACATAGTCCAAGACCTCCCCAGTATCAGCAGAAATGACAATTCCAACTCCATAGTTGGCCGTGAAGCCCCTTTTGCTCCATGTACCATCAAATGACACGGCAACATCAAGAATTTCTGCATCATCCTTCTGCAGGAATGTGCGTACTCGATGGCCGGCATCGTTCAACCTTTCTTCCAAAACTTTTCGTGTTGCTAAGTTCACCGAGCGATTGTGTTTTTGATAAGCACTATCACTTACTGGGGGTGGCATATTTAAAATTTCGCAAATGGTTGCAAGAGCCTCTCTGCCTAAGCCCAACTCACCCATGGCAAAATTCGTTCTCCGATTAACATGAAAAGAACGAGCTTTTCCCTCGACTGGCTTCGAAGTATCCATGTCCACTCTCTGTCTACATTTGGTGCATTCAAAATAGTAGCTGCTGCTCAATCCAGCACGTTTTGAAGCATCTTCACAAGTTATGATTGTCCCATTCTTACATTTGTGCATCATTTCAACAGCTTTCCGTATGTTCTCAATATAAACAATCCGGTATCCGTCTTTTTCCTCTTGTGAATTCTGTCTTGTAAATTCGGGAGTTTGGGGTAGTTCAGAACTAGCATTCTCCAGTTTTCGTGCCGATGTTGACTTTACAGTAACCAAATCTTCGTTATTTATCACTCGATCTTGAGTAATTGCGTTTTGTTGGCTGGCAGATTGAGAGCCATTATTTTCGCCATCTTTGCGCAAATCAGCGAAACGTTTCCCTTTGAAAAGGTTTTTCTTCGTTGATTTGTTTCTCACACGCAACTTTGTGCCTTCTTTAGAACCTTTTGGCATTATTACAAGCAAAAAATACAACAAAATATAGCGACAAAATAGCGATTCAGCAGAATATATTCTCAAACCTGTTTCGAATGTTGACCACAGTATGCAAATCAGAATGTAAATAAGCAAAATTATGCAATAAGCATGTACCTATGCCCCCCTCGTATCCCTAATACACACATTTAGCATAGGTAGCCCTATTCAATATTTTTACATCAAAATGGCCCAGAAAAACTGCCTTTTCAGAGGTTTTTTGAATTCCGTTTCCATGGTAACCAGCTGCAAACAATCGACAGATTTTCAGGTTCTCTACCAAAAGTCTATTTTTTAATGGTAAAACGCATAAAAATTTAAAAAAAACATCAGTAGTTGATAAAGTACATGTTAAGGTATACTATTATGATGTTTTTAAAATTTTGATATTTTTTTCCAGTATCACCAAATTTCTAGGTGAAGCTCCCCCTTAATAGTACCTCTTGTTAATATACAGGGTGTATCAAAATAAACGCAATTCATCTTTTGTGCTTAATAACTTTCGAAATACTATTTCTAGTTAAACGCTTTTAGGCTTACTTCAAAGCCTGTTCTTTTCTCTTTCAAACAAACTATTATCCATGTCTCCAATGCTAGTAATAATTGCACAGGAAAAGATTTAGTAAAACCTATCATTTTTAGTTGCTGTTTAATTATGCAAGTTTACTATGTTTTTGTTTAGTCGGTTTAAATGTTAGAATTTTCTTCTTTAAACTTTAATGTTGTCATCACTACATCTGGAAAACCACGTAAGAACAAATTAAAAGTATTTTAAAAGAGACCAGGTTGTTTGAAAATCCTAAACGAATGCTAAAAATCGTCAAAACATTCTGGTGTCTGAGCCAGAGTGTCATCGAATTGCGATGTAATGTAAACAGAAATTATAGCAAGTTGATGTCAGTCAGCTTAGATTGTCCAAGCCAAAATTATATCGCATTTGAAGTTTCAAACTGAGTTAAAAATAGCGGAAGAAAAGCCGTAATTATACTTATTGTTACAATCCATTTAATAAAATGCAACATTTTTTTGTTTTAATGAAAAAATAGTTATTTTCATGAGAACGATTTGTTATTCCATCTCAATTTTTTTAATCTCCAATCACAATAACGTAAAGTATTATTACCCGTGAACAAATGAGTCAAATTTAAGAAACAACCCACTGTTAGAAAGCTGAATGGCTACGCTTTAAAATGAATGTAAACTTTAACGTTTTCGTCTATTATGTGTTTAGCAATTTACATTTCAGTCGAGGATTGCGCTTTTTTTATACACCCTGTATAGTTTGCAGTACTATAGGGTGACTGTGTGGTTAATTTAATGCAAGAAGGTGGTGAAATGGCAGTACTACTTAATAATTTCATTTCATCATATTTAGAATTTAATAGCATCATGATGATACTAGCAATTAAGTCATCCGAAGTTTAAAAGAACAAAGGGATTGGAAAATGTATATAGTTTGAAAATTGCACAATATTACAATTATACTTTTTGTGTGTGTTGGTGTTATGTAGTCAGGTTAATATGATGTTTGTGTGATGTTACTCTGAGTGTATATCCACACCGGGCAGGCTTGAAAAATATGCCTGGCCACGGCGGGATTCGAACCTACGACCTTTGGAATACTAGCCCAATGCTCTTCCAACTGA